CTGTATCTGTATCTGTATCTGTATCTGTATCTGTATCTGTATCTGTATCTGCATCTGTATCTGTATCTTTCACTGGACATATCATATATACTTACATATATATACATAAATATATCGTCAGTTTCGTCACTCTGAGTGTCTGCAAATTGAATTGTTTCTTTTGTGATTCTGGTGGGCTGTGCGAACCGGTTAGTCTGAGTGAGAGATCTTGGCATTAGAGACTCAACAATTACGACAATTACAACAATTACGGCAATGACCAACCAACCAAAGTGTCGGTTGTTGTCTCACATTGCGCATACGCAGCGTTGCCGTTCGCTGCTCGCTTTTGTCTTTGGCGTTGACAAATTCCAGCGACTCTGCTTCAGTTCTTTACTTCGGCTCTGCGCTTCAGGTCTGCACTTCAGTTCCGTGCTTCAACTTGCAGTATGCAGTTTGTGTTTACAATTCTGGGCGTTCTTCAATCGCTGGTCGCTTCGCTGTTCTTTTTCCGCTTTCTCATGCATTTTTCCAGTTATGCTTCAGCATTAACCCGGTAAGGTTCGCCTCGCATCGGTTTCAGCTCGCAAATCAGTTCAGTGTATTTTTTTTTTTTATTTTTTGTGTTCATTTGTTGCTTATGCTGCAGTTGTTGTTGCTGTTGTTGTTGTCGACTAGCAAAGTGATGGCCCTCAAAGTGTTAATTGGCAGGTGTTCGACGGCCGGCCGCCTTGGTGCCCGTCTGCCAACTTGTTGATATTTGTATTTTAATACACACACACACACACTTATGCATATGCATATAAATCAAGAAAAACAATTGAATTCATTGAAACTACAGCTGCGTGTGGCAAGCGAATACAGAGAACACGTGCCTCTGCCCCCTCCCTCGTCGCCAACAGGCGCTGCCCGCTTATCAGCGCCTGCTCAGGTGCATGCGAAAATCTCGTGATGCACCGCCGCCCAGCCACCACGCCCTGCGATCGCACCTAATCAACACGCGGGCTGCCGGCCGCTCATCAATGCATATTGATAAGCGACGCGACGATCGTGCAGCTGTTCTGCATTGTTAGAGCAGCTGCAAATCAAGTATACGCCGCGCTGCCCAGCCTCAACTAAATTCCATAGAGAAGATAGATTAGAAAACTTGTATTTCGAAAAAATTCATTAATACCAGATGGAAAATCGTATTATATACATCAATTCAAGAAATACAATCCTTTCATATATCAGGAGAACAACTGAGAGAGAGAGAGATAGAGAGAGAGCGCGAGAGAGATGTGATGCGACTCTCGTTACCCACTTTCTATGCAATTTCCCCCTCTAATTGATGGCGGCCTTTCAATGAATTTCTATTCCCAGCGAAGGTTGCCCAAGTGTGTATACCCTGAATCCATTAACAGTGCGACTTCAAGCTATAAAAGTCTTCTGAAAATGTGTGCAACAGGTGGAGGAAGCCTTGGCACAAGCGATATGAACTACATCGATTCTCAATGAGAACGGGCCGAGTCGTTATAGCCATGTCAATCTGAAGACTTGTCCGTGTGTATATATGATTGTGTGTGTGTCTGCGTCCGTTTGAGTGCAGAGACTTGGCCATGCCACAGACAGAAGTAGAGGCCTTATTAATAGGCCATCTGAGTTGGTCTAACCATATTAGACTATAAGTCAGTCCGTCCCTATGGCCGTAGTGATCTGTTATTAACAGATACAAGGTGTGCCCGTCTGTACATCTGTCCGTCCGTCTAAGTGCCTTTGAGTCTATATGACCGCACCGAGTTATATATGTATATATGAAAATGTGGTAGATAACATAGAGTATAGTTATTCTTGATAAGGCCAACGAACTCAGTTGATCAAGCTGCGTCCGTCTGTATAGCTATCTGTCCGTATGGCCATAGCGACGTACTTGTTAAATAGATTAAGGATGAGTAGTAGACTATATGAAGTACATCAACTCTTGATGGGGAGAACATGGTTGACCTAGATATATCAGTCTATCTGGAGGTCCGTCGAAGTGTCTGTCCGTGAGTCTGCATACGAGTGTTTGTTCTTGAGCGCAGATTATAATGTGAAACACATAAACCAGAGGGTTGAAGTTTCAACTGTATATTCCTGAAAATGCAGTACAGCTTGATTAATTATCGATCAAAATCGATCAATCCATTTCTGGCACTGACACGCCGGTTGCAGGGTATCTCCCGTCGAGCACTCCCGCCTCCGACTGACTTCTGTTTTGCACTCGACTCTACTCGGTTTGATTTTAGAGTTAGATGAGACGCATGCAATCGCTTAAAATGTTTCACGCTCAATGTTTCCTTTTCTTTGATCAAGTCTGGAATATAGTTATAAAATAATAAAAAGTAAAGCAAATTAGACAATTGATTGCCAGTGCTGACACATGCTCTTGGACACTTTTCATATGCGAGAGAACAGAAAACAATCATAAAAAAATATTCAATTGATATCAATAAAACGCGAACGTCACGTCACGTCACGTCACATCGAATTCGTAATCGAATTTCACATCAAAACTCATACGAAATGCGCGCCGTCTACGACTTGTTGCTGAGCAACGCATTCGATCCCAGGTATGCGCATAAGATATACGTACTACATAAGAATTACATCACAGAGCCGATACAGCCAATGGAGATCTATAATAGATCTAATCGGGGCACCACAAGGCTGAGTTAGTTCGTGAGGTCAAAGCCACGTTTCCAGCATTTATTAAACGTGATTTGCAGTTAATTTATGGTATTAAAGTACGTTTATAAGCAGATATCGATTTAAATTGGGCTTACACATTATTTGTACAGTTACTTCATAAAGCAATCGATCTATTGAATTCTATTGAATTAGATTCAATTGAAAAGCATTTTATGGAACTTTAGTTTCATAATGGATATGGTATCTTCATGAGCGCATACTGTGAAACAAATTATTTATTTATATTTGCTAAGCATTTAGTTATGAATTTTAATATGATTAGTTATGCATTTTAAAAACATTTCAATATTAATAACTTTGAGTAGCAAATTGGCTGCGCACAGATTTTGGGCCCATCAGCAAAGATATGTTAAATATAGAGAACATGCAAGGAATCGAGAATTCAGGCAAATGAATTGCAAAAATATTGAGATTTTTGTGCATGATGAAAGTATAAATATATGTAGAATTAATACTAAAATATTTATAATTATTATTATTGGCTTCCAAATTCCATTTTCAACGAATTCTTTTACTTAAAGCATTTAAGATAGATAGTTTATTAGATATAGATATGGATATATATGTATATGATGATATGTCATAAATGTATGTATTTAAAGAGGACTGGGTAATTCCAGGTTAGATTACTGCCAGTCAAATTGAAAGTGAAATGAATATGTGGTTATTGGAGTATTTCGGTGTAGTGCAATGTCCGTCTGTCTGTCCTCATATACATATACAAAGCTAGAGTATAGGCTCTAACCCAAGCGGAAAATTATTTTAGTAGCCATGATAAATGCAGTGTTAAAGATAGGATATGATAGAAATATCAAAGCTCATTTCAACTCTGTACACTCAAAGATTAAGCACTACTGTTTCTATCCTCGTATTGTATTTATATACCAATTGTGGACGTGGTAAATCATAAAATGATTCAGCCGGCATCTTCCCGAAAGAGAATGAGTATTCTGCAGTCGGTACTGCCCGACTGCAACAGTCTTAATCTTTGCTAATGCTTTTACCTACTAATCGTATCTTCCCTCTCTCTCTCTCTCTCTTTTGACAGTATGGTGCTACAGAACCACAACATCGTCGTGGCTCGCTCCACTTTGACTCCGAACAACAGCAGCCAGAACTTTGTCTCCCACTCCATCCAGGGCGGGCAGTCGGGTGGCGGTGGCGGACGCTATGCAGTGAATGCCGGGCCAAGCAATCAGCGGCCCATTGTGGATCTGCTGGTGGCCATGGTGGCTGTGCCGGTGCTCATACTGTGTGCCCTGCAGCTGGAGAAGAATCTGCACGACATGCACAACAGTCCCGAGTCGCGTTGGCTGGTCTTCGCCCTGGGCATCGGGATGCTGGTCATCAGCGTGATCATCTGCGGCTATGTGACACATCGCATGGGCGTCTGCATCTGGGCCGGGCCCATCGACGAGGCCGGCAATCGCGCCGGCTCTGGTGCACTGCATCACGTAAGTCCATCGGTGCCATAGGCGATATTGTGCCGTATGCCTAACCAAAATCCCTCTCGGTTCCCAGATCAACTCGCAGAATGATGTGCTACGCATCGTGGACTCGCTGCCGCCGAGCTATGAGAGCGTGCTCAAGTGCGAGCTGCCGCCGCCGCCCTACGACTGCGTTATGATCGATGTCGACCCGTACAAGGACATGCAGCCGCAGACATCCAGCAAGGATACACGCGCCTCTCAGGCATCCGGCTCCGGCTCTGGCTCCGGCTGCGGCTCCGGTTCCATTTCCGTTTCCGTTGCCGTCAACATGCCAAACACCACACTGCACATCTAGATCTGGGAGGAATGGAGGCAGCGGCGACGGCGACGGAGGAGAGAGAAACAAAGAGATTTTTCGCTTGTGGCATTGAATTTGACCAGAAATGGGACTCGTACTTCACCTTTCTACTGCATTGGCGCCCCCTATCGGCCGCCTCTGGCTATGGGCTAATCGCATGGCGTTGTATTTACTACAGTCTAAGATCTTAGAGTATTGTTATCCGTAGCGCATTCTCTGCACAGCTATATCCAAATGTATATATCTGTGCATGTAGGTACTATATATATAGGTGCTATATATATCTATTTTTTTTTTTACATTTTTTTTATGTTTTTAGTTTGCTTGGTCTGCGTGCAGCACTGTAAATATTCCTAAACAGCATCTAGTCCAAAGTTGTATATAATATAGACGAAAAAAAAAAAAAATTAGGATGAAGGAAGACGAAGGAAATGATTTGAGCTACATAGTTCCATGGAGAAGTGCGCAGATTACGTTTTGTATTTATTAGTTGTTTAAATGCCAAGATTGTGAAACGTAGAAGTGATGGGGGCAGAGGGAGCGGTAGGTAACATAGCAGTTGCCACATAGTTTATAGACTTACCTATATATACACACATATATATATAACTATATATACATAGTTGAAGAATTTATACGCATTACTTATCGAAAAGGTTAACGTTGCCGTTGCTTAAAAACAAAGAGAGGAAGAGAGAAGAAAGAAAATGAAAAACAAAGAATTCCTATTATATCCATTATCTATACAATCATATCGACTCGACTCGAGCTAAAGCTAAACAATTTTAAACAAAATGTGGAAAAATATATCAAATGCATTCATTAAACAAATGCGCTTATCAACAATATCTCGAATGTGACTTATTATTTTTTTATCTTTCGTTTCATTTACACCCGAGTAAGTACTACATGGTGTTCGTTGCGATTCTGAATGCCCCAGGTGAATGCACCTTCTCCCTAGATAAAAAGTGACGCAAGCCTCAAACATTCTGTCCATTACCCTTATATGTACTATATATACCTGTAGAACTATGAATGCAAACTTTGGAATATTTTCACTGATTGACGATCGGCTCAGGGACCAAACATTCTCAGCCAGCAGGTAATCAGTTTTACCGTAAATACCTTTGAGTACCCAAGTGTTTCTGGTGCTTGGGATAGGGTATTTTTTTTACTCAGCTGGCTCAGAGACTGCAATTATATAATACATTCTTATATAATAACTTATCTGTATGCTTTCTGGTTTCTCCATGGGATACATTTTTAATTCCCCTTAATTGCTTCGATGCTGCAGATGATCGTAAGTTGCTTAATACTAGGAGACGGTGCTCAATATTAAGATCATGATTGAATACCTACATAGATCTAATTTCCATACTCTAAAAGTTATAACGTATTCTGATTTGCTATGAACTGAGGTTTATAAAATGGACCACGCCTTAACAATTATTTAAGTATAAAATACTTCATAGGCAACTTATTTCTCTCGATATTGTAAATTTCGGTATTTCGTGTTGGTGTTTTAGGAGAGGATGCCACATATTGCATGGTATGAAGCGAGACTATGTATGCAGCACTCAGCTTTTTTCTAGCCAGGTCTGGCTTTCCTGGTCAACTCTTGCATTTCTCCCGTCAGATCTGGCTTTTTATACCCTGAACCCATTGAAAATGGGAAATCAGGGTATAATGTTTTT